TGCTCTAAATTCTGCATTTAGGTATCTATTATTTTGTATAGTATGGATCTTTATCTCTTTCTTTCTTTCTTTAACTTTTTTTTTAGTCAAAAGCCTAGTGAATATTGGATAGAAATACCTCAACAAAGGAATAAATCTTGAGTCAAAATTTTAAAACTTTTAGAATTCAAACTATATGTAGAAAAAAAATGCATGTTTTTTTAATTTTATTTAAAAGAAATTTTATTTAAATAAAATTTTAATTTTATTTAAAAGAAAAGTCCAAATTCTCAAGCATCGTTCTAGAAGATTCTGATTCAATGATTTGTGATGAGGACCTGAAATCAGAATTTTGAAAATGCTCTTCAGGGACTTCAGTCAACCAGGCTTGGCAGCCACAGGCTTAAGCCATTTTCAACGATCAATTTATCAGGAATTAGGTGGAACTAATGACACCTAGGAATCAAGAACGTTTTATAAGAAAATGTCACGTTTCCATCTTAGCCTTTATTCTTGTTTATGTTTAGAACATTTTTTAAGAAGTTAATTCCTATGTTTTATGATCACTGATACTTACAGTTGGAAAAGATCATAATAAAGACCCTGTCTAGTTCCCTCACTTTCCTAGTGAGGCAAAGTGACTTGGTTAACATTATATTCTAGTGAGTCACAGAATTGGAACTGTGACATGATATCCCGACTCCAACCAACCAGTATTCTTTATATTACATCATAACTTCTCACTACAATGTACACTTGTAACGTATCAGTATTGATTTTGTTGATTATCTGAAAATTATTTAAGATTATGTATACAACTAAAAGTCAATGCCCTATTACTCAATATGTTATTTTTCTATGTTTTAGTTCAAAAGTTTCTAATAATGTATTATAGTTTAAGGTCTTAGATTGACAATGAATTTGAACTAACTTCAACTGTTCTGCAGTTTAATTAAAATATGAAAGAAAATTTGCTTAAATGTCTTGACTTTTAACATTTTGCCATCCTAGCAACACATTGACAATGTCAAACAATTATTATTTTCTGCTCTAAGGCAAGAATCTGTAAAGTGGTAATAAATAATTTAAAACATAGGACAGCAGATCTTTCTAAATATGTCATCTCCAAATATAGGGTTTTGTCTTGCTTAGAAGGGTTTCTCTTGACTATATGTTAGATTCATCCATTAGCTACTTTTCCTCCAGCCATTTCTGTTGCTGCCCCTTCGCTTGATGCATGTTGCAGTGAGTCTGGAGAGCCATTCTTCTGCTTTCTGGATTGCCTTTGTTTCGCTTCAGCTTCCCCTATGGCAGATGCTGATCATCCCATGTGCACATCTGTTCCTCTTTTATAACATTTTATAATAACAGAGTGAAGGTAAAAATTATTTTGATGTCTCTACATTGGACAAGTTCCTAGAGTTTATTCAAGGAATTGTCCTGCCATGTGATATTTGGTATTAGTTGGGCATGATTTTGATGAAACTTTCCAAGACATACCTAACTGGGGGAGGTTACATTTACAAATTTATATATATTTATAGGACTTCATTGTTTAAAATTTCAGAATCTGAAGTAATGGATTTCTCATGGTAGACTGATTAAAAAAGATGTAGATATGCCCATGACTTTTCCCATCCTAACAATGGATATCTTAGAGGAAAGCAGTCCATATCTCTTACTCTCCTATGAATGGTACAGGGAATAGGCAATATTGTACGTTTAAGCCTATTTAATAATCTAAATGTAGGTGACATTTTAGAGTTACTTTATAAATAATAGTATGTTTTATTTGGAAAATTCTCCAGCTGAAAAATAGAATTCCAAATTTCATTACCTTTATGAAATGTCAAAGTTAAATCTGAGAATATCTTAACATGAAGATATCTGCATGGAAATAAATGGTAATCTGTATTTTCTAGAGTGTATTTGACAGGACTAGTAATTATTTCCTCCCTTTTTTGTTCCTGTGCCTGGAATCTGAATTCACTGACAAATATGCATAAAAGACAAGCAAAAACAGAGATAAAATAAACAAACAAAAATAAACTTCTTAAAAAATCACTAATTAAAGTAGGGTTGTAGAATATGGCTAGGGTGTGAGACCCAAATGATCTTGCCAGCACTCCCATGTACCTAACTGGATCCAACTCTCAGTTTAGACTTTGAGATAGTTCATTCAGATCAAGTTTGGAGTTCAGAAAATGAAAACAAACTGACAAACAAAAAACAAGAACTGACTGACAATTTGCAATATATTACATTTACTCAGTTGAGAAATATGGAACAAATTTAACTAACAGGTAGAGTGAGTAATTAATGGTACAAAATGAAAAGAGTATATACTTATGTAGGAAACATGAACAAGGTGAATATGTTACTTCCTACCACAGCAATTAATTTTAACTTGTCTAGCAAAGAAACACATTCATGAGTTTTGTTAAGTCTTTCTGAATCTATGAATGTTCATTCCTCCTGTTATAGCCTTGGAATGGTTTATTTTATATGTCAACTTGGCTAGGCTATAGTACACAGATATTCGTCAAACACAAGTCTAGATGTTGCTGTAAAGGCTTTTTTAAGATGTGATTAACATTTAAATCAGTAGATTTTAGGTATCAGATTATCCTTTATAAGGTAAGCGTACATCATCCAATCAGATGAAGGCTTTAAGAGAAAAGACTGAGGTCCCTTGAGGAAGACAGGATTTTTTCTCCAGATGCCTTTAACTCAAGACTGAAACATCCCCTCTTCCCTGTTTTTTCAGCATGCCCTGAAAACTACACTTGTCCCTTTTCTGGACATGCCTACCGCCCTTAGATTTGATTTACTGCTAATCATTATTTGGCCCATCATAATATTTGGCCATGTGAATAGATAGTTTAGGGAGAGATGAATATCCAGGTGGGAAGACCAGATCGCAATCAACCAAATTTCACTATGAAATTATGCACCTACAATAATGACTTAGGCAGGTCTGCATTTTATGTGAAATTTCTTCCATTACTAGAAAGACAGTAATATTGAATTAGCTAGTTAAGTGTGAGACACATTGCGTAATTGGAGATCTGACAGTGCAATAGGAAGACTACGCTACATAAACTTTCATCAATTACGGTTTGATTTAACGGTGTTAGAAAGCAAGTTGGCCCACTTCTTCCTCTTCCTTTACTAATGCTGTTTTTTCAGCTTTCAAGAAGGCAGAAGAAGCCTCATAATGTTCATTGGCTCTCACATGTCAAATGCACTGTTCCCTATCTCCAAATGTTTATCCTGGAAGCTATTGCACTTGTTCTGGGTAAATGGAAGTTTCTTTTCATGTTTCTTTGGCTTCTTTATTATGCATTTTGTTATAACCTCTAAATGGGAACATGAAGTACAAGAACACAGTTGATCAAGTTTTCTGGAAATTACACAAAGACAAATGAGTAAATAAAATTGGATTTTTTGATTACATATAAAATGGCACAAACTTCAATGACCTTCTTATCTCAGTGAGACAGGTATTAAGGAAGGATAAGCAATTTGAAAGAGCTTGGAATTATTAACCTCTGTTAAGTATTTGGGAAGGACAGATTATCAAGACAGCTTTCACTTCTTGATCCTACATTGAGAGAATAATTTTAAATAGAAAATTTTTCACATTTTCTCAAGACTCTGTGCTTGGGAGTTTGACCCTTTGGAAACCACGGCTCTTTCAACAATAGTTAACACTTTTATAAACAGGTTTTCTAAAGAACATCCTGTCAGCTGCTACTAAGGAAGATTCCTAGCTGCTTCCTAAATCCCACACTTAGACTAGTTCTCAAGTGCCATTTTTAATGTCTTGTTAGTTTGGAACACTGCTATTAAGTATACCCACCAGTGCTGGATCTTTGCCTAGCCGTAATCCTGGAACATATGTATGCCTCTTCCTTTATTTTAAGCTGTTTCTGCTCTTTGAGTACATAGAAAAGAACAATGAAATTCTGGCATATCATGTTAACTAAATATTCTTCCTGAGGTCTGCCATATCTACTGATGATTACTCATCAGAATGAGTGTGAGCCTTCTTTCTATTTGCTTTTACTATTAAAACCAGAAAACATGTCATTAACCCAGTTACACTGTTAGACTCTGAATGGTTAATCGTGTCAGTTGAAGAGACTTCTTGGATAAAGCATAATTTATCCCAAAGAAAAGATATCTGGCCTGAGAAGCAGGATAGACATGAAAGATAACTGTTGTGAAGCTGCCCAAGAATTGTGTGTTGTGTGTGTGTGTTCGTGTTCATGTATTTTTGCTTTAAAGTTCGTGTTCATGTATCTTTGCTTTAAAACATTTGAAAACAATAATCTAAGTAATTGTAATTAACGTTTGGATAAAGAACAATGTAAGGGCTTTTGGGTAATTTGGTGAATATTTTCATCTTAATTTTTTGTTTAGTATTTTTTTCTGTGACTTATGCACAATGTGAATTTCACAAAATTAACATGATTGTTAACATTAAAATAATTTGCTTTTGTATTTAATGATTATATCCTACATATTATAAAATCTTGAATAACATTTCTAAAAAATATATATAAAGCCACACTAAGCAGCAGTAATTACTAGAAATATTGGATTACTTTTACAGCACTCATATAAAGAATTTTTTTAAAAAAGGTTTAGATTATGGCATTTTTCTCCCAAAATTTTGAGGTTAATTGCTATCAACTTACAGAAACTTTTAAATATAGAAATTCAAACTCATGTAAGACTACAAAGTCTTGTGTAAGACTACACAAAAAATTAATTCAACAAAGAGCTGGTTCTTTGAAAATATTAAGAAAATTTACAAACCCCTAGACTCACTAAGGAAAAAAGAGAAAAGACTCATATAAACAAAGTCTGAAGTGAAAGAGGAGGAGTTCCCACAGACAACACAGATATACAGAGGCTCTTACTAGACAACTCTGGAAGACTATATAGCACCAAAGAAAACATCTAAAAGAGTGGCTTTCCTATTACATGCCATTACTCTTCCTTTTGTCTTTCAGGAATACACTATTGATATAATTTTTGCCCAGACCTGGTTTGATAGTCGTTTAAAATTCAATAGTACCATGAAAGTGCTTATGCTTAACAGTAATATGGTTGGAAAAATCTGGATTCCTGATACTTTCTTCAGAAACTCAAGAAAATCCGATGCTCACTGGATAACAACACCTAATCGTCTGCTTCGAATTTGGAACGATGGACGAGTTCTATACACTTTGAGGTAAGACTGTTTTGAAAAGTGTAGTTGTTCTAAGTTACTTTTATACCAATGTTTGATTAACTCATAAGTTCCCCTTTTTTAAAGTTGCAAAGCAAAAGATATGGAGCTCCTTTTACACATTAAAACCTAACAAGGTGCAGTGTTCTGGAAATTCTTGTTTAAGCTCAGAATAACACTGTGATTTTTAATGAGGAAGTAAATAAAACATCTTTAAAAAAGAATTACGTGAATGCTGATGTGTAAGATTCAAGTTTATTTAATTCATTGTGTTGAACATGTTATCTGCTTATTAAGAATAATCCATAATGGAAAGATGTTCATGATAAATTAAGAGAAAAAGCTATCCTACTTAACCATGTACACTCTGCTAATTCTTTGTGTGTGCACATGCACGAGCCCACATGTATGTGTGTTGATCTCCTGAAGTACAAATTTTTAACTGTAAAAAGAGGTTATACTAAATGTAGACAGAGGCGGCTTAGTTGACTAGAGAGGAAAATGTTAGAATTGCCTGACTCATTTATGAATGTTATTATATTACCACTTAAGACTTTGAGATTTTAGAATTATTATCTTCTAATGTGTCAAAGTCCATTATTGCAGGCCAAAATCATGTTTGAAAATTACGGAAAATATTTTCAATGCTTGAAATTATTTTTCATTTTTAATACCTATTTTTCCTTCTAAATAGATTGACAATTAATGCAGAGTGTTACCTTCAGCTTCATAACTTTCCTATGGATGAACATTCCTGTCCACTAGAATTTTCAAGCTGTAAGTGATAAAATACATGATAATGTAATAGATCAACAGATATGTAGAGACAAATGAATGACAATATGACATATCAAAACTTCTGGGGTGTAGCAAAAGCAGCAGTAAGAGGGAAGTTTATATCATTACAGGCCTTTCTCAAGAAACAGGATAAATCCCAACTAAAAAGCTAACATTAAATCTTAAAGAACTACAAAAGAACAAAAGCAACCTGAAGCCAGCAGAAGAAAGGAAAGAAAAGTTAGAGCAGAACTGAATAAAATAGGGGAAAAAAGGACTACACACAAAATTAATACAACAAATAGCTTGTTCTTTGAAAATATTAATAAAATCGACAAACTTCTGTCTAGGTTCACTAAAGAAAAAAGAGAAAAGACTCATATAAACAAAAATAGATAAAAGAGAAGTTACCACGGACATCACAGATGTACAGAGGATCTTACTAGAATACTATGAAAGACTATGCCGCCAAATTTATTAACTTAGGAGTAATGGATAAGTTACTAGAAATATATAACCTTTCTAGATTGAATCATGAAAAATCGGAAAACCTAAATAGACCAATCAACAGTGAGGAAATTAAAACAACCATCAAAAACCTCCCAAAAAAGAAAAGTCCAGGACCAGATGGCTTCACTAGTGAATTCTACCAAACACTCAGAGGAGATTTGGTCCCTATCCTGCTCAAACTTTTCCAAAGAAGAGGCAATACTTCCTAACCCATTTTATGAGGCCAACATAACCTTGATACCAAAAATTAGCAAGGATAACACACATGAAATAACCTACAGACTAATATCTCTGATGAACACAGATACAAAAGTCCTAAACGAAATACTAGCAAATCGAGTACAACTATACATCATTCCAAGGGCACAAGTATGTTTCAACTTATGCAAGTCGATCAATGTAACACACCAGGTTAACAAAAGGTGAAAATCATATGAACTTATCAATAGATGCAGAAAAAGCATTTGATGAGATACAATATCCATGTATGATTAAAACACTGGATAAAATGGATAGAGAAGAAAAGTACCTCAACATAATAAAGGCCACATATGACAAACCCTCAACTAATATCATACTCAGTGGTGAAAAACTGAAAGCGTTTCCTCTAAAATCAGGAACAGACAAGGATGTGCACTCTCACCACTCTCATTCAACATGGTTCTGAAAGTCCCAGCCGGAGCAATCAGGCCACAGAAAGAAATAAAAGGCATCCAAAATGGGAATGAAGGAGATGTGTCACTTTTTGCAGATGACATGATTCTATAGATAGAAAATCCTAAAGACTCCAAGTAAAAACTATTAAAAACAATAAACAAAGTTGCAGATTCAAAATTATTGTACAAAAAATCCACTGCATAAATATATTAAAATATGTAAAATATAAAATAATGTAGTCAGTAGGACAGCAATCAAGTCGAGTTCAAAAAAATTAAATTAAGCTCTATTTTCCAGAAATGCATATTCAAATATAACAACAACAAAAAGTGAAGAATTATCACAGAGAGCAGGTTAGTGTTTACCTCTAGTTGGGAGAGGAAATGCTGTATTGGAATGGACACATGAGATTTCCTGGATGCTAGCAAGGTTCTATTTTTTAAACTTATGTGGAGTTACATGAATTATTATTTGATGATTATGTGATTATTCTTTAAAATATGCACATACATTTTATGCAAGTTTTAAAAAAATGTTTGATATATACTATAGTAGAAAAGTGAGGCAGAATTTCAAAAAATTTGTCTTTGGATAATGTTGGTATGGCAACAGGAACAAATTTGGATTTTACTAATCTATATATTTTAATTTATTATCTAGATGGATACCCTAAAAATGAAATTGAGTATAAGTGGAAAAAGCCTTCTGTAGAAGTGGCTGATCCTAAATATTGGAGATTGTATCAGTTTGCATTTGTAGGGTTGCGGAACTCAACTGAAATTTCTCACACAATCTCTGGTAAGGAGGAAACACAAATTAGTGAAACTGCATTTATATTTCAATCTATGGGTTGATTGAATATTTATTCAATTTATTTTATAGCCAAAATAAAACTATTTTTTTCTTTCAGGGGATTATGTTATCATGACAATTTTTTTTGACCTGAGCAGACGAATGGGATATTTCACTATTCAGACCTACATTCCATGTATTCTGACAGTTGTACTTTCTTGGGTGTCTTTTTGGATCAATAAAGATGCAGTACCTGCAAGAACCTCACTGGGTATGACATATAATATTATGTTATAGTGTCATGGGACTTTTACAAATAATTTAATGTGGTAAAGTTTATTGTTGAATATACTTGAATATTTCTCTACACTATAGTCAAGCAAAAATTAGCAGATGCTCTATTGCAATATAGTGTTGAAATATATATATATAAAAAAAAAAAGAATGAAATAGATTTGCAAAGACCTTGCAACTTCAGAAAATATATATATTTTTTCATTAGTAGAAGTCAAGGAAAGCATAAACACACAAGATTTAACACATAAAAAGCACACACAATCGCTGAATTTTATTTAGTCAACATTTTCAATCACTTTTCATCAAGATTTTCTCTTCTTTTTAGCCAACATTTGTTGACTGGTGTGTATTTAGAAGGCTTTGAGGAGCCTTGCTCTTACAATGGTGCTAAAGAATAGTCAGCTGTTCTAAAGGGCAGGTTGCTGAGAGGAACCTTCTAGGCTTCTGTAATCTATAAAATGTGTATTTAGTCTGTGAATATTTTGAGAGTTTCCTGTGAAATAAGACTGATTTAAAAGGTAATTTGTAATTCATACTTGATAAAATAGACTCTTTCTTTCTTTAGCAATCTATTTCAATAATCAACATCACATAAGAAAATATGTCTAATTACTATACATTTGTTTAAAAATGATAACTTAAATTCATATATTGATATACAAAGACAACTCATTGATCAATTAATTCATTCCCAGGAATAGCACAGGAAGTGAATCACATTACTGAAAATTGTGTCTTACAAAACAAAGAAAGTTATGGTCATTTTTTTTTTAATAGCAAAGAGGTTTTAATTTAGTTTCTATGATAGCTGGTGAATATCTGCACTTCATACATACAGTAAAATGCAAATCACATAAAAGCGGCAAGATAAAGCCTGAGGCACCCAGCTCTCTGCTTGGAAATGCAGTTCCTTTGGGAGTCTAAACAGAAGGGGAGACATAGTTAATGGATAAAATGCATGCATACCTGAGATTTGTTTCCTGTTTAAATAATTAGTACTTCAAATTACATTTTGTGTCAAGGTAAAGAAATGATTTTAGATGATTTATATGGTACTTGGAATATAACTTAAATATTATATATTTTTTAAACATGATTCTCATATTTTTTCCAAAGAGAATTTGAATAAATTATTTATACCATTAGGTTTGTATGAAGCCAAAAATCATATGTCACAGTGTCATGAAAGACAATAGCCAATTGAGGAACTGTGTTTTTGCATGAATTCATGTATTTAATACTAGGACTTCAACTGTAAAGATAAGTGCTGGCTCTAGCTTGAAGAACATCTCCTATAATTGTGGATCCTATGTAGTTGGAACATAAAGTTTTTTTTAAGCATACATGCATAAATGTGTGTATACACACACACATAATTGAAGGAAAATTCCCTGAGCTCATTTATTCAATATTGCATTTTATCAAACATTTATGAAATGCTTTTGATGAAAGAGGCAGTGTTCTAGGTGCTTTAGCATTAACAATAAACAATATTTATAAAAACCTCATGTTCGAGGCATTTATGTCTTAATGATGTATGTAGTTAATGTACAAATATAAAAGATATAGAATGAGTAATAAAGGTTATAGAGAAAAAACGAAGAAAATGGCTACAGAATGGCCCTGGATGTTGACAGCTCTAGTGTTTGCTATTTGACCTTGTGGAGGCAGCCGAGGCCTCTCCGAGGAGCCGGCCTGGTGGGCACCTGGCAGGGGGACCGCGAGGTTTTGAGGCTGGACCTTGGTCACCGCGCCATGCCTGGCCTTCAGGAAGAGAACTCGACTAGAGCTCACTGACAAGTGGTAGAAAATGAGACCAGAGGTGTGGGCAGTTGTTAGATTATGTAAGTTCTAGTAGGTCTTTCTAAAGACTTTGGGTTTTATTCTAAATGTGGTAGGAGATTATTGCAGGAATTTGAGCAGAGAAAGTCATGGAGGAAGAGGAAATGTCAGTGACTCTGCTTAATAGCTCAATAGAATTCAAAAGACTAAAATTTTCCAGAGTACATTTTCTGACAAAAATAGAGGTGAATTAAAAATTACTAAAAATAGTACAGATAATAATGACCTCATATATTTAGAAATTAAAACATGGCCTTTTCGATAACCCTTGGGTCAAAAGAGAAATTAGAAAATATTGCAAAACTAAATTTTAATAGACATTTAACATATAAATGTTTGCAAGATACAGGTAAAGCATTGCTTAAAGGGAACGTTATAGCTTTGGAATGCTAATATTGGAAAGGAGGAATGATTTTAAAGTCCATATTCTAAGTGTCCTCTTCAAGAACAAACAAGTAAAATCAATACCTTTGTGCAGGGTGGGGCAGAAGTAGGTTTCCAGGCAGCCTCAAAAGAGTTAAAAATTGGATGGTCTATTACTATAGAGGAAAGGAGAGAGATGGGCACAGGGAGTCAACTATTTGCAGTCCGCAGAATTTAGATGATTAAAACACACAGACACAAAGAACACTTTGAACATAATGTAACTATGGTTACCGGTTTTTTTTCTTTCTGTAAATCACAGTAATCATACCCTTTTGTGTCCATTGTTTGTTTCCGCTCACAATATTGCCAAATCAGATGAAAGAGTAAGAACGGTCTGTGAGGCTATTTTTCATCTTCTACTGTTGTTTCCCTCCCTCCACAGGTATTACCACAGTTTTGACTATGACCACTCTGAGTACAATAGCCAGGAAGTCATTGCCTAAGGTTTCTTATGTCACTGCGATGGATCTCTTTGTTTCTGTGTGTTTCATTTTCGTTTTTGCAGCCTTGATGGAATATGGCACCTTGCATTATTTTACCAGCAACAAAAAAGCAAAGACTGCTAGAGATAGAAAGCTCAAAAACAAGGCCTCGGTATGTTAAAAATCTTTATTTTATAAATAGCCATTGACTGTTAGAGATGCTGTTTTGAACACTCATACTTACTTAGACTAATATGGGTGCTTGAGGGACCGTGATAAAAAATTAAATTAAATTAAAATGGAACTGGAGTACCTCACGTTGCCCACCAAGGAAAGTGTGTTTATATTTCCCCTTAGAAAGGGCTCCTGGGTCTCCACTGTAAAGACTGGTTTCATGTGCTGTGAATTTTCCCCAAGTGCTAGATCCTTGTACCTAAAAAATTATGTAAGATCATTCTTTAAAGAGATTCTATGTTTGTCTGAGGATTTGGAATTTGAACAACAGGCGGCCCAAAAAATTACCTTACCTTTTAGAGAAAAGGTTCCTCTTTAACACTGGTATTCAACTGTGTTTGAGTCACAGCTACACAGTTCCTTTTGGTTTCTGTATGTCTATATTCCCTTACCCCCTCTTTCCAATCATGTATCTATCTTAACTTACATCGTATCGGATTGATATATTAGAATTGATTCTAAGATACTCAAGTGTTGGATGATTGACTGTAATTTCTTGATATAATGGGCGTTATAAAACCTTGAAGTAATATCTAACAGAGATCTTGTCAGGCGCTCCTCTAAGTATTTTACATGTGTGATTTCATTATGCTCATTTGAGTACAAGTTCAGTAATTTGCACAAGGACAGCCTCGGGAAGTGAAGGATCCAAGACGTAAAACCAGGTATTTTTTTAGTGCCAGCATCAAGTTTGTAACCCTTACTTTATATTTCCTTTTATCAGAAAACTCAGAAAGTAAACATCCATTTATGGATCTCCAATATTAATTTAGAAAAGCACTCCATTGCTGACTCCAGAAAATGTTTTCAATGTGGACTTGTTCCAAAATATCCAAGTAAAGGAGAACTGTATAAAATCGCCATGCAGGGGTGGGAAGCAGAGTTTTCCATATTATCTCCTAACCTTGTAACTTCTAGGATTCAGTGCTTCTTTTCTCCCTCCCCCATTTTCCATTAGTTTCTCCATAAAACTTCACCATACTTATAAATTATGTTTTACTTTTCATGTTATACGCCAAGGAACAAATCTTTGTGAATTTGTTTTCAGCTTTCCACAATATTCCAAGAAAGCAGAGCACATTACTGGCTGTACACATTTGAGAACTTGCATTGTAGAATCAGCCTGTGAGTTTCTCAAGTTAACATTATTTTAACTTATTCATAGGACATAATATGACCCCTGTATGGACAAACCATCAAAGGGCAATGATGTCAAATTTAATATTGATTTGATAAATTTTAGGTAGAGAACAACGCAGGTTTTCTACCATTTTCCTTTCATCCAGGCCAAGCACCCTCTCTGGATTTACCATTTCGTTATTTACTCATCCGCAGCTATGCTCAGTTACTACCTTGAAAATTTTACTTTTGGAAATTGTGAATGAAAGCCAGACAGTGTCCAATCTCAAATGGATTCTCTGATTCCATTCTGAGAATATCTAATGTAGGTACTATTTTTATAACATCTAAGGACACTCAACCAGTAAGTGACTGCAGCTAATTACTTTGACGCCACATCAGGCACTCTCGATCACATTGCATGTCACAGCTACTCAGGAAGCTACAAATAAGAGTGCAGACTTTACAGTTATGATGTTTACTTCATCGTTCATTCGCCAAATATTAAGGACACCCATGCTCTAAGCACTGCTTTAGAATATTTATTTAAGAAAAAATCTGCACGTTGAGTATTTAAAATTTAGCATCAAGCCCAGGAAACAAAATAGTAAAGATGAAAAAATAAGGAATAAAAATTAAATGAGAACTTTACAGCACTAAATTTCATATATCAAAAGTTTAATTTGACATATTATAATTGACTACCTGGGTACAAAAAGTATTTTCTTAGAGCTATCCAAAATAGTTCTATAGTCTTTTCTTTCTGTTCAGTTATGTGATTCATGAGCTCTTTCAATACTAAATGTCACTTTGAGTGAAAAGCTGGGATCAATAATCAAATATGACTCCCTGCCTGATTCAGTAATACGTTCTTGCTAATCAGGTAAATCAATATGAGTGCACTTTATAAAGACTAGACACCTCCACTTGCCCTTTTCTCAAATGCGGTACTTGAGAGCTCTGTGGAACCTGCTTTTCCCTTTCCTCCATGGTGATCAAATGCACAACCTGGACGGGAAATCTCTCCCCCGCCTGCCTTCTTCCCTTCCCCCTCCTTTCTCCCTCCTTCTTTCACCTTCCTTCCATCTCCCCACTTTTTTTATAAGCTCAAAATTCTGAATAGTTTAAAATGCAGTATTTTTCCTTTTTTACCCTTAAGTTACTGCAATAGTCAGGCCAGGACCAAAGACCTTGAGTAGAGTCATCGAAAGGTCAGTAGGTCTGTTATGAAGCAAAGCTAAAAATCTCCCTGATGATGCCTCTGACTGCTTAACTGAGAATCCCAGAATACCCCCATTTATTGTAGTTACAAACAGGTGTTTGAACACAATAGATTTTTAACTTCAATGAACCCTCTTAGAAAAACATAAATCAATTAGGATGCTTTCTACCTTAGTCTCCATATAATATATTAGGCCTTTT